TACAGCAAGTATGTGATGTAAAACTGGCAAATCTGCCAATTTAATTGCTTGTGAAGTCACTGGCTTGACTTTTCTAGCTTGGTCTACACTGGTTTCTTTCATTAATATTTAATTTGCCTTCCATTAAGGGAATATCTACTGCACAGTGAATAAGTGAATTTCTCGTATGAAGCTGTGCAGATGTGATATCCCTTTCGAGAGTTATCCTGCTTATACAATAGAAATGTTTTAGTTTTAGATTGACAGTGCATACTGATGTAGAATTTATGGGCTAAACCATGCATTATAAGTAATATCTATGAAAAATATCACAGATTCAAGATTCTTAAAAAAAAAAACATATACAGTGGACATAAATGCAGCCGATTTAGCTAAGCTAAGATTTATATAAAAGCACCTACATAATTATTTCTGTTAAAAGTTGTGTATGATTTGAGCTGTAAAGATGTTTAAATAATCATTTTATACAGTTTTCAGGGTTTAAGGTTTTATGGCATGATATTGCCATGCCTCACTGCAACCCAGTTTTTTGCTTTTAGTAAAGAAAAGGAGAGACAAGCGAACATTCATTTTGATGTGATAAACAATATGTCACAAATTCTGTCGACTGAGCTTATAACTTGAAATGAATATTCCATTAAGCTTTGCTCTGCCTTGGTATTTAATTTTTAGTTTTAGTTTTAAGTGACGTGAGGCCAAGTGGTGACCCGTACTCGGAATTAGTGCTCTGCATTTATCCCATCCAAAGTGCACACACACCGAGAACACACACCCGGAGCATATTAATGGGATAATTCACTCAAAAATTATAACTCATGCAGTTGCAAACCTGCAGTAATTTCTTTCTTCTGCCGAACACAAAATAATTGATTTCAAAGAATGTTGATAACCAAACAGTTTCAGTTCCCATTGACTTCCATTGTATTTCTTGTCAATGGGACAAATCACCAAAACTGTTTAGTTACCAACTTTCATCAAAATCTTCTTTTATGTTCCACAGAAGAAGAAAAAAAGTCATGCTTGTTTGGAATGACATGAGGGTGAGTAAATGATAACAAATGTTTTATTTTTGGGTGAACTGTACCTTTAACTGTAATTAGCCTACTTCGGATTATATATTAGAACACTGTGTGTAACTACCCTAAATGTATATTTCATGTTTAGGCTACATACTTTATGACCAAATCCTACATTCCCTACTTTCTCTCAGGTATAACACCAGCCTGCCTCGAGAGCGTGTGGTCCGCCTCACTAAAATGGTCCTGGTTCTCGTAGCAGTTTTCCTGGTCAGTGTTGGGCCGTACCACATCCTGCAGCTGGTTAACCTGAGCATACCTCGCCCCTCATTAGCGTACCACACCTGCTACTACCTGTCTGTGTGCCTGAGCTACGCCGCCAGCAGCATAAACCCCTTCATCTACATTCTGCTGAGCGGACACTTCCGCCACAGGCTGGTCTGTCGGGATACACCCAGCATGCCAAGTGTGGAACGGGAAATCCAGGCCCCCCGCTCCAGTTTTTAAGCTGAATTCACAATGAAACACACATAAGCACTGCAAATGAAAGAACCGATGCACAAGCCTTTGTTGGTCTTAGGCAAAGCACAATTGTTTTGGAGAAAGATTCCTGTTCTTTGTTTTCATTTGTTTTGAAGGATTTCATAAAGGAGGCATGGGCTGTTTTATATGTGCATGTATGCATGTTTTGCACCTTTTACCCTAAGCGTTGTAAATGCTGTGTTGTTATTTATTGGTTAATGTGGTGTTTTGGCTCCCTCTACTGTTTAGTTTTAGTAATTTACTCTACAGCATATGTACTGTCTATCTGTCTCTGTCCATAAGGCCTATAAATCAAAAAACATTTTTTATTTAAAAAAAAAGGCTTTGTCAAGCTAACATTCACTTTTCTAACTAAAAATTACATTGCATTTATTTTAGTCTTGACTTTTCAATGATGTTTATTTAAAATTCTATTGCCTTACGTTTCAAATTTGAATTACCATTATGCAATTCAAATTGTGAAACCTAAATGGCATTCTCAATTGAAAAGGCACGTTCCATTCGATTCTGAATGGCACACAACCCATGCCTTTAATTGAAATTGAATGAATGTTTTGAAGGGGCATTTGGCAGTTTCAGACTGCATTCGTTTGTGGTCTGCAGTGTTTAACACTGGAGAAAATAAAAGATTATGATAATAATAGTGTTCAGGACACAGAAGTAGATCTCATTGTGACTTTGTACTATATGTCTCTGTTTTTTTTTAGCTTGATTGTATGTGACTTTTGAAAATGTGATATGTTATTATCTTGTGAATGTTATATTGTACTATCAACAGGTTTTAAAGGAAAATTCATCATACCAGCAAATGTATTTAAAGGTTGCTTTGTACAGTACAGAATGTATTGAGGCACGTGAGCATGTTTTCACTCATCTTGTGTGAGTGCATCACCATTGTTACACACAAGAGTAATCAATATTGTTCGGGCCAAAAAGTTGCCGTCATGCAGAAATCCTTTAAGGGCATTTTGGGATTGTCTGGTGTGTACTGGACATTAGCTTGATTGTATGTGACTTTTGAAAATGTGATATGTTATTATCTTGTGAATGTTATATTGTACTATCAACAGGTTTTAAAGGAAAATTCATCATACCACCAAATGTATTTAAAGGTTGCTTTGTACAGTACAGAATGTATTGAGGCACGTGAGCATGTTTTCACTCATCTTGTGTGAGTGCATCACCATTGTTACACACAAGAGTAATCAATATTGTTCGGGCCAAAAAGTTGCCGTCATGCAGAAATCCTTTAAGGGCATTTTGGGATTGTCTGGTGTGTACTGGACATGATGAAGTGGCTGGCAGCTCTAAAGAGTGAGGTCACTGACCAGACAGGCAGAGATGCAGGGATCTGTTTGCAGCCCAGCTCCCAGAGTGGAATCAATTCTCTGACCAGACCAGAGACAGACAGAGATTGTGTCTGACCTAAAGCATGCCTGGTGGCAATGGCTGAAAGCTCACTGGAATGCTCAGTGTCTCTCTCTGTTTCTCAATTATGCTTTTTATGGCCTAGTAAACCAGCCAGAGGCAAAATACCAACTGGTGTGTTCAAATAATTGTCAATATTAGTGTTTCAGTGTCGCGATAGTTTGTTGAGACCATGCATTTCAATAATACTATTCAATATAATAACATACAAACTGTTGTGCTATTGGCTTTGTCACCGATTCCAGTGCAGCAATAAAGACTCTGCCTGGGCAGCAAGGTGCTTTTACATTCTCCTGTTTCTACAGTAGCTCACATTGTTTATATACCCCATTCCATCAGTTTTCTCTTTCTCAATCGTCATCATTCTGGTCTGTGAGCGAGGTGACTGACTACTGCTGCGGCAGCTAATCTGACATTGTTTGACCTTGTTTGTGACTTGCTTCATATGGCATTGACCTTGTTACTTCCACCTCAGCAGTTTGGCTGCTTGTTTGTGTCATGTTTTTCACACAACAGCTTTTGTTTTTATGTTTATTTTATTTTTGAAAGATGTATTGCATTGTAAATAATATTAAATGTATATTAAGAGTATTTTCTTTTTTTGTGAATCTGTGAATATGTTTACTGTACTGCCGATTTTCCCTCAAAATTCTATGAGTAGTATAGGATTGATAGAAGATTAGAAGAAAAATGTGCTTTCTACTAGTGGAACTATTTTCCTGTTTATGTCACTGAAATGGAAAACCCCGCATATTTCTGATCATGCATATCCACAGATATCTGAAACATCTGCTGGACGTACAGTTACCACAAAATTGATTTATTTTTTCACCAGTAGAGGGCACGTGCTGACAATTTTCCCAGCATACAGAGTTGACATGCATTTGAAAAATCAGTTAATTTATCATGTCTTTTAAGTGCTGTATATAAATTGCAGCTTGTATGCAATATCAAATATTTTTTCTCTCTGTACATATTTATGTATGATGCTTGTTTCCTTGTATTAGCCTATGGCCTTCTGATACATTTAATATTAAATAACAGGTCCCTGGAATACTTTTTCTCTATTTTCTTATCAACACAGAAAGTAAAAACGGTTAATACCTTGGAAGTATAGTCTTGGAAGAATTCAGTTTAGTATTCAATTGACTGAGAATAAAACGTAAGAAAAAAGACTAGAAGAGATTGGATGTTAAGGACTATATTAAGGACTATTTTTGTTCATAAAAGCCAATCTTCAAATAATTTCAACTGAAATGTATATTTCATGGAAATGTATTTAGTTATTTCGTACATAGCCGTAAACTAGATACTATACTATACAGTAAAACCGCTCATTATTTACATAAGCCCTTTTTATTATCACGTGCTAGACCTTGTGAATATGCAAATTCACATATGCAAATCCCCCCCTTCTTATTTATATGTTAATATTATGCACTGGCAAATTTAAACAAACAATTAGCTTTCGATTTATTAAAAAATATCTTACGTGGACTTGATCATCAACTTTACCAACCCATTTCCATGACCAACTTTCAGCAAACACCAATCTTTAAAACTGTAAAACAATTTGGAGCGGCCAGTTATTTAATCGTTTTAATGTAAGATTAATATCTTAATCTTACGTCTCTGTACATGGTGAAACCTGTGTGAAGAGATAAGCACAGGTTTTGGCCTGTGAGGCAATGGTGCGCGCAGGTTTCCCGACAGCCTGTTGTTTCGCGCGCGGGTACCACGCGCAGAAACCAAGCGAGAATGAAGGGCCTGACAACTTCTTTGTTAATTGGAACAGGCTTCTCGCTATGTGTGCAGCGAGGGTGGTGAAAAGACCGAGATATAAGATGACAAGTGTGAGCACGAAGTAGAGTCGCGTTTAATTAATTTTCCTTTCTCCCTTGGGAACCTAGCTGTGCTCGTTTGTGATACATTTTGCGCTATAATCGACGAAATAACAGGCAATAGCAGTATTCCGTCGACTTGGAAGCGCCTTTGTGTTTGTGGAATCACAAGAATAGAGTGAAAACCATAAATATAGTCGAGTTGACCTAAAGATTAAACATTGCTGTGAAGGCTGTAGGCCTAATAAATGTGTGGAATCAAGTGTCACTGCACCTGCCCATGAGCTCAACTGAAGCACTGGACACGTGAGTAGTTTATTGGTTTTAAAAATGTTCATTTTGGGGTTCCATCCACATTAAGGACATTTTTTTATTTCATAAAACACTTAATATTGTCCCAAAGACACTGAATACAGACAGCTACAGGTCACGTAAGTTTTTAGTGGAGGCATTAAATTAAAAGCTATACAGGTGTAGAATAGTACTGTGTATAATAATGTATCAGATGTTTAATATTCAGTATGTGTTAGATATTTGTGTATATGTTTCTCTTTTAGTGGCATATTTTGACTACATTTTCACTTTTGGGTGAACTATCCCTTTAAATTGAGTAGTTCACCCCAAAATGAAGTTTTTGTCATCATTTACTGACCTTCGTTTGGTTCCAAACCTGTATGACTTACTTTCTAATATGGAAATAAAATTGTTATTTTGAAGAATGTGTAAACAGTTTTGGTTACCATTTACTACTATTGTATAGAGGGGAAAAACACCTATTGTATGTTCCACAGAAGAAAGAAAGTCATACAGGTTTGAAATGACAAGGGTAAACGAATGATGACAGAATTTCCATTTTTTTGGGTGAACTATCCCTTAGGATAAATCCTTTTTAGAACTATCTTTTAATAGTATAATAAGTCTAATATAAATAATTTTTTAGGATGATTATATGCATTATTTGGATGCTATTATATTTTCAGAGTGATTAAGTGAAAGTATTATAAAAAATATAGGCCTCTATAAGGCTGTTTCTTTCACATAAAAGCAGCTCTCAGTTTGTGTGAGGTAACCTGATGTTTAGTAGACCAAAATTATTGATTCAACCGAGTTGTTATTTGACTATGCAAAAGCATGGTGCACATTGCACATTTCCCGCTCCCACAACCGCGGCACATGCTCGTGTGGCTTGTGCTGATTATCCAGCCTCCACAACTCCAGATGGATCAACACATGCTGAAAATGCGACAAACCAAGACACAGTTTTCCATCTGACCTCAATCTATCACTTCTGTTTGCCTGTATAAATGTCAACGTGCTTCCACTCTTAGACTCAGGGAGTAAAATGTAATCTTCTTGTCATCTTATAAGTCGTTTTAACAGCCTCATTAAAGTTTGTTTGCATTTTAATTAAATCAGTGTGGGTGGGCTTGGCTTTAACCTGTTGTATGTATCTTGTTGAAATGCTTCTGCCATGGGTATTCTTGCTTGGCAGAATGTATTACCCTTAATATGGCTGCTTTTTTACAGGTGGAGTAAGTAGCTGCTTTTTTTTTATTAAAGGCCTTGGTTTTATTTTGAAATCAGTAGCAACTGTGTGGGTTTGTTGAACTGATCTACCTTTGTATCAGGCAGTTTAAGATGTACATGATCAGATTAACCTTAGAAGCAGGTTAGAAGACAAAGGGCGCAGAAATTACCTGTACCGAACACGAACCGGGACACTTTAATGGTTTTTGAAACGATTACATGCATTCTAATGGAGAACATTAACATGCATGTGTTTGAAACAATAGCGTCCCTCATGGTTTCTCCATTCTTCATTAATGCTGTAATTCAGTGCAAAATGATTGACTGCCAAGTTTTGTGAACATCAAAGCTTTTTTTTTTTATACAATTTCCCCCCAACCAGAAACCCCATTAAATTAACATGCATTTTGAATCTTTTGCCCAATAAGTTGCTTAATGAATTGTGAGGGGCATTGACAGTGAACAAGGCCTCACATCAATGTCAGAATTAGACATTTAAAATATTGTGTGTGTGTGTGTGTGTGTTGTCCGTTTCGAATCGGAATAGTGAGATGTGATACGAGTTCTCCAGTGCTCTTCATGCCCCGTTAATAACCTGGCCTGCTTTGATGTGGCAGTGTGGAGCGAGGTGGCTCTTTCTCTGCATCACTTGTGGCATGTAAATCCGGCCAGCATTTTATCTCCTTACCTGCTCAAGGGCCACTGGATTTGCTCTGGCTGCCTGCATGCACTCTGTTGTAGCGTGAGTCATGAGATGTCACCTACCCAATAAGCCACTCACAAATGCTTTGAGAAGACTGCGATTCTGTGTGTGTTTGCTTTTCTGTTCATTAGATGTTACTGGTTGTCTTTGTATGACATACAGTTAATGTAACACTAAACATGAATATGAACATGTGTAATGCTCTATTTCTGAAGGGTTTGTAGGCTACTTGTAACAAGTGCTGGTCTGGCTTGTTTTTATGAAAGCCTGCTTCTGCCACAGAGTAAAAAAAGAGTTTATATATCACGCAATTGCACTTTATTTCTCATAAATGTTACTTCATATCTGCCAGTGTGACTTTTTTTTTTAATGTGACTGATTGTGTATTTATTATACAATACATTGTGATATTTCGGAATTTTGACTTTCTTGTAATTTTTTTTTCAATTTTTTCTTCTCGAAATTTCAACTGTTTCTCGTATTTAGAACTTTGTTTCTCATAATTTTGATGTTGTTTTTTGTGGTTTTGTCTCGTATTATGACTTTATATTTGCATATATCAGACTGTGATAATTCTCAATTTCAACTTTCTCATAATTTCTTATAACTATATCTTTCTTATAACTTCAGCTTTATATCTCCCAATGTGACTTTGTCTCATATTCATGACAATTCACTATTACATATTTATATTGCGAAGCACAATATTTCTCAATTTATACTTTATTTCTCTTATTGTTAACTAGTTGCTCGTAATTACAAGGTTTTTTCTTGTAATTGTGACTTTATATTTCTGAAATATATTTTTTTGCAATTTTTGTCATGAATTGTTAGTGTATCACAATATTGTCTTTGTGTCACAGTGTGACTAGGACTATATTTCTGTTACAATTTGTTTTCTCGTAATTTTGACTGTCGTAACTTATATATTTTGTCTTTATATCTCGCAATTACATCATTTATATCTTGCAGTGTAACTAGGCCCTATTTCTTGTAATTTCTACTTTGTTTCTTTTAATAAATGTAACTATTTTAACTTATTCATGATAATCTTTTTATTTTTTTAGGCTGAGGTGTCAGCAGGTTTACAAAAGCTTGTCTAATCAAATAAAGGATCAATTGTAATGTTATAAAAACTGTATGCTATAAATTATAGTGTTAGTAATTACACTCTTTATTTCTACTCTATTGTGTTTGAAACATAACAGTTAAGCTCCAGTTCATTGGCTGTCAATCATTTTCTATGATTTTGTTCATTGACCAGTTCTGGTCAAAGCATCTCTTATTCAATCATACAGTGTCAAAACTGCACTCCATTGTGCATGTGGTTGGTTAAAAACACATTTGTTGTCTTGCGCTAACCCAAAGAGTGCACGTCTGATCGCCCTCTTGACCTTGAGATGAATGGCTGCCCAAACCAGTCCCTGCTACACATTACCATTTAAATGGCCCAAGGAGAAGGTTAGGTCAGCTCATTTGATGTTGAAATGCAAACAGAGATCAAAGAAGAGAACTCGCAGTAGCCTATATTTACAGTAGTCGGTCTTGGATTGGTGTGTTCGGTGGCAGAGGTGCAGTGCATTGTCTGTGTGTATGTGTTAGACAAGAGAGTTTTGTAGGAGGGAAGAGCACATTGTCTATTTGTTCTGCTTGGTCCTCGTGGGTAGATAGCTCATTAACCATTGTGCCCTGGCACAATAGCCAAGAGAGCCGGCTGCATGGGTACAACAAGTCCAGCACAATACCTGTAAACAGCCAGCGGCTTAATTGAAAATGGCCCCTGGGATCACCAGGCTGTCATAACAACAATAGACTTGTATAGATGCATAATATCAAAATTGCAGAGACCTATTGGTGGAGAGTACATTGTGGTTTCCCAGCAAAACGCTGGTTTAATGATGTTGTGATGTTTCCCAGCTATTTTAAGAGATGCATGTGTACGCTGAGTTTTTGTTTGACATGTTCTTATGTTTGCTCCTGTTCCAGGTCACTGAACAGACACAGGCTCCACCACCACTCACCTTCAATCATCACCTGAGACAAGAAAAGACTGAAAGATCCGAAAGAAGAGAATGAATGGACAACAGTGTGTGGTAATAAAATTCAATCAGATAAAAGACTAGTCCAAAGGTTGGGAGTCAGCAGGGACCTTGGTACAATATTATATTGATATCTCGTGATGTGATAATATTGTGTTTCTTTTTATTTGGTGTACTGACAGAAGAAAAGGCACAAATGCTGTCACTGGGGTAGTACCCTTTAAATTTTGTATTATGTTTACCCCAAAGGTGTGCATATTGGTATCATTTGAAAGGGTTCTGCAAGTGACAGTTTTTGTACTTTTTTTTTAAAGTGTGTAATTGTGATATCAGGACTTCAGTGTTTTGTAATTGTATATGTAGTTTGGTCTGAGTTTGTCAAATAGAAAGAATCTAGAATATGTTGACCTAACGTCACAGTATATTTTCTATAACTTTCTTTAACTAACAGGGTTGCTTTTACACTTTCTTGCACTCATTCAACTTTTTTATATATAGACTCAAAGATACAGCCTCTTTTAATGCTGTGTGGGAAGAACATCTCTTGTTGGCTGCAGTTATTATAATAATTAATTAATTATAGGAAACCCCGCCTACTTTGATTTGATTGAACATCTCAATTATTTTGACACTGACCAGCGCTGTTAGACCGCAAACCGAGGTTCGAGGCATTTGTAGACTAGCTCAAGTTAATTCTCACACTTTAATAGTGTGTATAACTCAGAGGCGTCATGCCCATTCAAAGTCAGATTTTTGAGCTAAGTGGATTTTGAATGCAGCTTCCAAAAGACAAAAAATAGCCGAATAATATTTTGTATATTTGATACAATCACACCAGCGTGATTAAATCGTTCAGCACGTCATATCATCAGCAGCTAAATTCAAATCTGCTTTCACTGGCTGGCGCTGAGACAGATACGTTTTTACAGCGCTGCGCATTATAACCAATCACACACAATGCTGTTGAGCTTATGAATGCAATGACCAATCAGAGGTGTTCAGATGAGTCATCGCTAAAATGCTGGTGTTTTCTTCACTCGCTAGCTGACTGAATGCCTCTTTCTGGCGAATTCTCTCGTTAGAAACAACAAAGTGCAGATGTGTGTATAAATAAGTAAGATATTCATTTCACAGTGTAAACATCTTCAGTAATTTTAATGGGAGTTTTTGAGAGTGCTTGAACTCTAGGCTGTCAGTGAAAATGTTCTTTGATAATGTAAATGTTGTTTGCTCTCTTCAATGAAAGTGTTATGATAAGTAGCCTAACTTACAATGTTTTTATTCACATTAACTTTCAATGTTAAATTCACATTAAATATAAAGTCAGTCGTATTAAAACTGTTATGGCATGACACCCATATCTGTTAATTAAGTAAACAGACAGGTTTTTATGCATAGTTAATAGACTACATTATTAGGCTACTTTGACCATCGCCCACTATAGATCAACTAACATTGGTGAGAATCGAGATTTTTCATGATATAATGCGTTTGGGAATGCTTCGAATAAAAAGGAAAAAATAAAACATAAGAACATAAGTGCTATTGTGGCTGCTGTGTGTCACATGTCGA